AAAGCGCTCAACTTAGCCTGAACGGACTGTAATCTGAACAAACCCAAAACACAAGAATTGTAAACAACAAAAATGCACTATTAAGTATAATGAAATTTGGTTATCACCGTTGTTAAGGTGATTTCATTTGAAAATGATTATTAGGACATTTAATTATGTTATTGGTGCACCCTTATATGACCATATATGGTTTACAAAGAACCAAATTCGATATGACTAAATTTAACATGAGCAAAAGTTTACTGGTAATATAAATAAAAACTTGAGTTACGATAAGTAAAGGTTGAAGACCAAGTTAAAGTTTCCTTAATTTAAAAATACACAAAAGTTTAACGCCGCGGCGTGTAGTAAACACTGTGTTTCTTAAAACATTACTATAACTGAAAAGTGGTTACGACCTGATTAGCTTGAGCTCTGGTGGATCCTGGAGAATTATGAATCCTACGTAGTGGTTCTCTTGTTGACTCAAAAGTTGGTTTTGACGCCACAACAGTCATGGAAAACTCCCATAAAAACTGGTTGAACGAATTTTCCCGATGTAAAATGGTACAGGAAGGACTTTAACATCCTTACTACGACGAACAGAAATAAGAATTTAAAGAAAATTTTATTTCATAAAATTTGACATTTAACAAATTTAACCTAACTTTTTCGCCATTTATAATAAAGCTAACTTACGTCCGTGACTAAAATGCCCAAAAGCCACTGTTATTAACTTCAGCCCGTGACTAAAATGCCATAAAGTCACAACTCGTCAATGTAGGAGTAGATAAAATATTTTAAGAACGATCATTTTCGGCAATACTCGATTCAATTCGCCCGCTCGCGTTGGTTTCGCGGTACTTTTGGCCACCGACGCAACGTGAGAACGAGGAGTGGTCGATGGTAATAAATGCTAATAGAAAATTTTTATAGTGCAATGGAAATGGAGAGAATTTAGTGCTTTTAAAAAAAAATAGGTTTGAAGGCTTATTATGCAAACTTTGTAGGTAAGTGGTTAAATTACATTTATAGCATATTCAATACAAGCAGGCCCGTATCTAGACTAAAATTTCCACCAGTGGCATTTGAAATTTTTTCTAAAGGTTTACAATAAAACTATTATGTTTAAATGGGTTAAATTTATATTTTAGGATTTTATTTTCTTTCGGGGGGAGGGGGTTTGAACCCCCAAAACCCCCTTAGATACGGCCCTGAATACAAGTACAAACATATTTTGGACATGTGTTAATGGCATTACTTAAGTACCTGCGACTTAATAAGTAGGTACCTACACTGATATAAAATTAAACCAAAAGCAAATGGAAGTTAGAATATCTTTCACAACAATGTGTTTTTTTTATCACGTCTCAGTTGTTTATTATACGAGGAATCCATTTTTTATGTTAATTTTTACGTACCTTGCTGCCTATTTATAATATGGCGAAACTTTTTAGAATAAAGCCTGATTTAAATATTGACTTCCATCCTTCCTCCCTTCCTGCCGTAAAAGATGAACAATACAAAAACCGTAGTGATGTTTATAAATTAGGGTACGGAATCCATAAATAGTACTACAGTTTTCGTATTGTTCATCTTTTATGGGAGGAAGGAAGGAAGGCAATATTTAAATCAGGCTTTACTTGCATTTACTGGTAGTTTTTATTGTTGCACAATATAAAACGAATCATTAAAAAAATTAACAAAGTAAACTTTAGGAAACTTTTCGATTTTACAGGTTTTGGTCTTGGGTGGTAATATAATTTATATGGTAATATGGCCCGAGCAATTGTAAGAGAAGCAGCAGAAAGAAAAATTGAATTGAACAACTTGGAAAATTTTGGTAAGATTGTGTCCTTTGGGGGTCATTTAAATATAAAGAAACGCATTTTTTGCCTTTTTAGACTTACCCCCTCCCCCTCATAAATATATATTTGTAAAACATCAGGGTATTTTACCCTGAATAAAACTAATTTGATTGGCTTCACTTATTATTTATTACTTTTTAACTAAATTTATTAAACTGCTATGATTCGACTTCTACAAATGTTCTGCGGACTCTGCGTTACCATTCGATTTCTAAGCTGTGCCAAGATTGTTTTGCTTAGTAGGCACACGTGCCTTTATTGGTCTAATGTCCTACTTTGGTAAAAAGGGGATTACCCTAACACGGCCATCCTGTTTTCGGAGCGTCCTCGCGCCGTTTTTTGTCTTCTTCTTTTATTTCTGCAAAAAGAAAAACCGAAACAGATTTTTGTTTTTTAAAGTTGAAATATAACTAAATTAAAACTAATTTAAAGTCAGATGGGTTTTCCATCCTCAACAGTGGGATTGCCACTTTCACCGAGGTGTTTAGTCACCTCCCAAGCATAGTAGGACTGCTACTATCTTGTCTTTTTTTTGTCGGATGGGTTTGCCATCCTCAACAGTGGGATTGCCACTTTCACCGAGGTGTTTAGGAACCTCCCAAGCATAGTAGGACTTCTACTATCTTGTTTTTTTTTTGTCGGATGGGTTTGCCATCCTCAACAGTGGGATTGCCACTTTCACCGAGGTGTTTAGTCACCTCCCAAGCACAATAGGATTGCTACTATCATGTCTTTTTATTATTATTATTAAATACAGGACTTACATTTTTTTATTCCTTTGGCCACGGCTTCAGCTGTTCAAGGGCAGCAACTGTGGTCCTCTGACCCTTCTTGTACAGAACATATCTCTCATTTGGTAACACCTGTCGAACAGTATAATGTCCTCTATATTTTGGTTTTAATTTGCCTCCACCAGCAATCTGTGAATCTTCAATGGCTACAACATCACCAGGAATAAACAATTTTGTAGAGCATCGAGTAGCGTTAAATCGTAAAGATTGTTTGTTTGCATTAAAGTTCATTCGATTTCGAGCGTCTTCGACGGCCTTGTCTGCGTCGACAAAATTATCGTGCCCATCCAATAATAATGTCAATATCATTTGGAATTATTTCATCCAGCACAACAATAAAATAAATTTCTAAGGTCATGATCGACAACACAGTTATTAGTTCACACACTCCTTTAGCATAAACAATTTACTTCCCAAATCCTGTCAACGCGTGCACTTTTTCGTTCGGCTTAATGATACCGTTCAATGTGTTTACAAGAGAGCGTTTGATGATTAACACACCGGCATCGCTATCAATAATATAACTACATGATACTGCATCGTCTTTACCGAGCACTGTTGCTATTGGTGTTAAATTCAGTTGACGTAATTTTTTAAGTATCAATGCTTTTTTTGGTTTTCCACTTTTTTACCAAGAGTTTATTTCCATATGACCCATTTTTTTACAATGCGCACAAGTAGGAACAATTGACAATTCGCTTTTATTGGCAGAAACAACTTCTTTTCGGGAGTTTTCTTTACGCACACTACGGCATGAGCTTTGCTGATGTCCTTGTTGACCGCACTTAAAACAGGCTCCTTTAAAAACCTTTGTTTCTTTTTGTGCACAAAAACTTTTTGAATCCCGTTGATCTTTTCGGTGTCTTCCAAGCTTGTGTTCCATTATTCCAGAAGAACTGCTGATTCGGCGTGCATCGTATTCACTCAACAATTTCATTAGTTCGCGTTCTGTACTAGGCTTCCCAAGTTCGGGAAATGGGTCTCCAATCACAAAAGTATTTGTATGCTCGACGTTTCAGTGCATCTCCTGCTTTTGCGATCATTACAATGTCACTTACATTTAGTTCCCTTTTAAGCTGGGTGACATCATCCAACCAATCTTTGATTAAATAGGCACTTTTATCGGGATCGTAGCTTGTGACATGGAAATAGTACACATGTCTTGATGAAAACGCACGCGCATTTTCGTCAGATGAACTACTATAGGTGTGGTCCTTGCCAGAGGTGCTTGGGACATTGCCATCTTGGTTTGATTTGCTAACTCAGCAAGTTGTTGCTGTTGCGTCACAACTAAATTTATTAAAGTTTCTTCCCACATTTTGACGCGTTTTGGGGTTGGAGGTTGTGAAATTGCTTCTGCATCTAAATCATCACCACATAAATTGTCATTTTCAACTCTAGATAACTCATCTGCCATCTTGATGCACTCACTCTTTGTCTGCTTTTGTTTATTATAAATTAACTTAATTTAACTTAACTAAACTAATTATTGTACATGGAAATCACTATCCCACTTCTGATGTAAAACATCAGGGTATTTTACCCTGAATAAAACTAATTTGATTGGCTTCACTTATTATTTATTACTTTTTAACTAAATTTATTAAACTGCTATGATTCGACTTCTACAAATGTTCTGCGGACTCTGCGTTACCATTCGATTTCTAAGCTGTGCCAAGATTGTTTTGCTTAGTAGGCACACGTGCCTTTATTGGTCTACTGTCCTACTTTGGTAAAAAGGGGATTACCTTAACATATTTATAAATAATTTATTATTACCTATGCTGTAAAAAATAATTTAGGCCAATGTGGTAACGGTTTTTATTTATTAATTATTTTTAAACGTCAAATAATCAATACACTGTATTAATCAACGAAGTTTGTTTTTACCAGATTTACACGTCCACCCTGACAATTAAAATCTGACACTTCTTAATTTAATTTATCATTTAATAAAATCTTAGCCTAATTTTAAGAGATTGTTTTGTTTTTTAATTTACTTAAGTTTATTTTTCAATAACAAAGTGAAAAAAGTAATATTCTTCTAATAGTAATCAAAAAACTTCTTAATTTCTAATTTAGCTGCGGAAGCCCTGGTTATGTAACACAGGACGAAACTCCCCCCCCCAAGTTAGAAACTATAACGTTTGTGCTGACCTCCAACCTCCTCTTGAGAGTTAATACTTAATTCTTTCTTTCAGATACCAGCACAAGAGCTCTGTTGGTCCTACCTTATTTATTTTCTGTAATAACTTTAAGAAAAGGTTCCAAAGAAAGCAGCAATTGTTGGCGACCAACCAGAACTGAAACACAAGAAAGTTTTGTTGTTGCTGTAATCCAATATTAAATATGTATTTAGGACATGTCCGCTATTGCGGAAATAATAAAGACTAGGCAAAAAAGATTAGAAGCGTATGGTTTTCCACTACAGCCGTTCGGTACAATAATTGGAAAGGAACATCAGCAATACTGCATCATACTGCACGGTAAAAAATATCTAGTTCAATCTTCCATAAGAGTTTTGGAACTTTTGTACAAATCAATTCATGCTCTGAATTTGGAATATCCGCCAGAATGTAAGCACATCTGGCTATTTATTCAAGAAATTATATTCAAAACTTTAACTACAAGTAAGCACAGTAGTACTGCTTGCGTTCCGGCTGATATCTCTAACCAGCTCCACCAAGACAATTAGAAATAATCCTCTTTTATCTTTAAAATGCCTTCTTGTAGTGCATGTCATATCTCTTACAAGGATATTAAAACCCTGATAATCCATTTAAAACATGTTCATAATTTAAGTGAAAGCAGCAAGTACCAATGTGCCGAAATAAACTGCTTTAGACATTTTCCGTCATTAAATTCATACAAAAAACATCTTAGAAAACATATAAACGAACCACTGAAAGATGAATGTTTAAATACAAGTTTTGTTGATATTTCCAATTATTCCCCTAATGTAGTAAATAGTACTAATGAAACACATTTTGCAGATGGTTAGGTTGTTTAAACTGTGATCAAGCTTCCACCCCAGAATGCTTTAATTTCGAGGAATTTGAGCTGTTTAAAAAAAAGTTGCACCAAAATGTATTGACGTTTATTCTTACATTTTATGCTGATAATTCTCTTAACAGGAAAGATGTTCAAACTATTATAAATGCAACAAACGGTTTAATATCAGAGCCCTTAGGTATTTTTGAACAGTATTTAAATTCATTATTAACAGAATATAAAGTCGATATTAGTCACAAAGAAAAAATAAATACATTAATCCTTCAATTTAAAAATATGTTTCATGGACTAGATACTGAACATTTAAGATTTAAATATTTAGAGAAGTCAGAATATTATATAACTCCTGTTAAATATGTCTTGGGTCAGCAACTGGATAGAGTTCAAAACGGCCAAGTCTTGCCTCAAAATTTTACGTACCAATTTATTCCTTTAAGACAAGTTTTAAAAAAATTTTTAGAAACATCCAACGTTTTTACTAAAATTTTGTCAAATATAGAAGAACTAAAGCAATTCAGAAACACTTGAAATATAATTCAAACAGATTGGTGGAAAAATAAATTGAAAACTTTGGGGGACAATGACATTGTATTACCATTATTTATATACTATAGGGTGGTCCTTAATAAGGTTATTTTCAAATTTCTTTGCTCCCAGGGGCTCAAATACTTCCAAATTGATAAAAAAAATTCACTGAAAATTTGAGCTCTTAATATTAACTCTAAGATAGTGCGCATTCCAATCTAAGTTTCCTATGGAAATAACATAGGAAAAATTACTTTTGTTGTTTATAATTTTATAACTTGGGAACGAATAAATTAAAAATTATAAATCATACATATTTTTATAGAGAATTTAACGCTCTACAAAAAAGGTTTCTTATAATTTTTCCATTAGTCTATTGGTTTAAAAGTTATTCAACGCCAAAGTTTAATTTTCATATTATTATTAATCTTATCAAGGCCTTTTTATGAGGCGCCGTTTGTGTCAAAATTAAAAGTGCTAAATAAACTTATTTTGTTTTATAAATAATTAATTATATGCTTTACCAAATGATTTTTTTAAACAATTATTTTTTTACAAATTTTTTTTTGGAAAAAATTTTATAAAATAATTTTTTTATAAATTTTTTTTTTTTTTTAATTTTTTTTATCAATTTGGAAGTATTTGAGCCCCTGGGAGCAAAGAAATTTGAAAATAACCTTATTAAGGACCACCCTAATATACTATGATGACTATGAAAGTGGCAACCCTTTGGGATCGCACGCGGGCGTTCATAAGCTAGGTGCTGTTTACAGTTCAATACCATGTATTCCTTTTAAGTATCAATCTTGGCTAGAAAATATATTTTTAACATTACTGTTGCATAGCTCCGATTTAAAGCAATTTGGCAGTAACTCTGTTTTAAAAAAATTAATTGATGAATGTAACTATTTGAAAAGTAATGGCGTACAAGTTAAAACCTCGAATCAAACTTTAAAGGTATATTTTGTAGTTGCTTTGTTGCTTGGGGATAATCTGGGTTTAAACAAATTACTCGGGTTTGCCGAAAGTTTTCGCTGCAACCACTACTGTAGGTTTTGTAAGTGTTCTAGAACAACCATGGAAAAACAAGTACAAGAGAACGATAATATGGGGAGGAATTTCATCAAGTATGAGGCAGATGTTTAACTAAATAACATAAAGGAAACTGGCATAAAGGAAAAATGCGTGTTGAACAATATTAACTTATTTCATGTATGTGAAAATTATTCTGTGGACATAGCCCATGATATTTTCGAAGGAGTAGCTCTTTTTGATGTAGTTGAAATTTTACACCAATTTGTTCTCATTGACAAATTATTTTCTATCGAAACTCTAAATTCGCGGATAAACTATTTTAATTATGGCCATGAAAATTTAAATAAGCCCCCCACGGTGCTGTTTTGAGAGGTAAATTTTGGACTTTCTGTGAAACCTAATTTTTTTTATATTCTTGTTAATTAGGTCATAACTAAAATTTTAAGAGCAAAATAAAAAAAATTTGACGGTTAATTTTGTTTTAATTGGATGTTTATTAAAAATATGTATGCACAGCGGCGTAACTAGAAAAAGTGCCGCCCGGTGCAGCAGTGGCTGTCGCCCTCATGTTTTTTTTTTTGGGGGGGGGAAGAGAGGTTAGGTTAGGAGTCAGTTTTGAGGACCGTACGCAAAATTAAAAATATATAATTATATATATATAACATATATATATTTATATATATATATATATATATATATTTTAATATATAACATTAATTACATAACACCCTGTATATATATAATATATATATACAGGGTGTTATGTAATTAATGTTATATATTAAAATGGGTAGTTCCTTAGGGTCCATAAAGAAGTACCTGAAACTTTTATCCTACCAAAAAGTACGCCACTGAACCGCGGATTAACCTAGGTAAGCTTACCTATTACTTTTTAATGCAGTGTTGCCAAATGTAAAATTAAAAATGTATTACCTTATTTGAGATGCTCAAAATGATTTCATTATTTAGAATGCAACTTGCATTATGCAAGCTTAAACTCTGCGAAGCATGCTTTCGCGCACCCGCGTAAAAATGTCTGGACTATTTACAATTAAGTTCCTGAGTTTCTGCCCAAATCCCGTCTCTCGTAAATGTGGCCTCATCGGTATACAAAACACTACGGCTCCAATCAGCATCTTCATGATTTTTCTGTATATACCAATGGCAAAATTCCAACCGCAGTGCATAATCTCCATCCTTGAACTTTTTGTAGGTGATAGGGGTACCTACAAACTATTTTCGTGAATCGTGCGCCACGTAACAAAGTTGGACATTTGTCCAAGTTGGGCAGTTAATCGTCTTGTACTAATTTTCGGATTTGCTTCCACTTCGTCCAAAATTTGCTCTTCAAGGGCCACAAATTCACGTCCCTGAGCCCGACCCCTATCACCAACAAATGCGCTAAATCTTCCGCGGTCCCTTAAATTTTGCACAGCACGTACAAAACTTTGTGAGCGCCCGACCCGCCATAGCATAAAATCTTTCGCACAAATTACTTATTATTATTACTAATAAAATACAACACAGATTATACAACTGAAATACAAATTTTCAAACTTTCAAAATATTTATAAAAGAATAAAAACCTGAAAAAACTTGAAAAAAAATAAAAACCTGAAATCGCTAGATTTTAGATTTAGACCTTGTAAAAATTTGTAAACTAATGATTTTTTAAAAATCGTTTTAACATTGTGATTTAAAAACATACTCATAAAAAATATATTTAAATTTAGACACACCAGATTTAAACTTTAATCATAATTCGTAATGATTTATTATGTTATGGTTGGTAACACTGTCAAAAAATTGTAGGTTATGTACTCAAATATCTTAACTAAGGGAAGTGATTTTGGGAGTTTGGATTTATTTACACAAATTGAATGTTTAACGATTAACCTGTGAACTTGTCCTAATTTCATCTGAGTAAACAAAAAAAAAACCGATGAAAAAATTAATTTTATGGAGTTTTTAAATAGGTAGGTACTAATGTTTCTTATCATTGCTTAAGTTAATAGCTGGATGAGTAAATAAATACAGAATGGTATTAGAGCTTTAAGGGCATAAAACTTTTGTATTTATTGAGTTTTTATTTATTTTTTGCAAGAAAATTTTTTAGTAACAATTTTTTTACAACTGGCAACGCGCAGCTACTTTGTTGGTATCTATGTACTGACAGAACACAAGTGTGTAACCAGTGGCGTATCACAAAAAATATAAAAAACTTCTAATGCATATATTTTCTTTATCTTTGGGAAAATATATTTTAAAATATTTTTCCATTACACCTTATGCTATAAGGTATTCAGTATTTTAATATATAACATTAATTACATAACACCCTGTACATATAACATTAAATTGTAATATTTAAAGAATTAAAAACAAACAAAAATTCCTAGGTAAAGAAAAACAACAAATAAAATGTGCTTTAACATAATTTATATGAAAAAAACAAAGAGATAAATTCTCAACCTTATGTAAAAGTACCTACCTTCCAGTTTTTTTCGCATTTTCTCTCACGATTTTTGCCGCCCCAAGAAGTGCCGCCCGCGGCGGACCGCCCCCCCCCCGCCCCCCCCTAGTTACGCTACTGTGTATGCACACTTTCAATTCTCCAATTAAAACTTTCAATTCTCCAATTAAAACTTGCGATTTTATTTAATTGGATGTTTATTAAAAATATGTATGCACACTTTCAATTCTCCAATTAAAACTTTCAATTCTCCAATTAAAACTTGCGATTTTATTTAAATATTTTTTATATCTTTTACTGTTTTGTTGTAATAAACGTTTAAAGTTTTAATTTAAGGTTAAATGTATAGTATACATTTGTTAAACAATAATTCTAAGGGTGCCACATTTTATTTAGGGCCGATTTATTCATTTTTGATTTATTTGACGAATAATTTCTTTGGATACTAGATATTGCCAAGACATGAAAGTTATCGGCCCGATAAACTTTACTAAATATGAATAAACCGGTCGTTGGTTAATTTTCATGAAT